TAGCATCTAGTGCTCAATGAGAATTTAACCTCCACACATAATTACAGGTTTCCTAAATCAGTCACAACTATCTTTCCACAAATGGGAGGTCGTTAATAAATTTCAGGAAAAAAGTGAGATTCACAGCTTACCCTTGGGTTCATGGGGCAGCCTAATCTTCAGGTGCCAATCCATGCTCTCCAATTGAACAGACCCATGGACTATGAAGATCTGCACTGCATAGGAGATACTGAAGATTATCCTGTACAAGTCTATAGTTTATTAAATATACAAGCACCAAAACCACCAATGCATTTAGAAAAACATCCGCAGTTTTGGTGCTCTTATCCCTAAAGTAAGCTTTCCCTTGAAAGAACTATGGGACCATTGCTGACCTCCTTGTGAAGATGCTAGTTGCCTGGCTATTAAGTTGACAACCCCCCCCCCCCCCCTCCAGAATGTCAAAAAGTTAAGCAATGGCAGCCTCCATGTCTCTTTGGGGCAACTCCCAATAACATAATATTTATTATTGGCATACTGTCACGTAGTGCTGATCACATCTTGCACACACTGGTTCAATGCATTGATCAAGTTGCAATGTCGCTGATACATTTCACAACCTATATGCAGTTCAGGTTGAACCTCAATAAAGAACAAATATTCTTACACAGGCCTGTTCATCTTGTATAGTATAATAGCTGCCTTAGGATTTTACAACATAGATGGGCCTGCCATGGGAGGTCACTTTAGGTGGTCAGTACAGGAAGTAGCTGGACATAAACCCCCTCTATAGTTAAACCTGATACTCAGGAAGCTCCCCTACTTCTAGGAAGGTGAGTGACACATCACAGCTGAGTAACATGCCAGCCTTGCCTGGCCCAGTGCCCCTGTTGGCTGCCATTTCCTTCTCCTTGACATCCAAGGCCTTAAAACCCCCCCCCCCCCCCCTCAGATCTCTACAACCATCCAGTGCTGAGTGTCTTCTCATCAGGCTCCAAAGACCTGTGCTTTAAGGCTTAAGTGTTTGTTCTGCTCGAAAACTTTATCAGCCTCAAACACACACAGGATTTCCTCTCCTGGATTGTCCAACCCAGTCCTGATTTACTCAGGAAGAGCTGCATAAAAAGATCCCTTTCGGACATTTAGAGTAACACTGCGGAGGCTTTAAGGCAGATATGGGTTGTGGCAGGAGGAGAACAACATCCACCATCCATTGGCACCATGAGGTGGCGGATACAGGCACAGCCATGGGTCCTGCAAGTCAAGGCCACCAACCGCCAAGCATCATGGAAACTCCATAGCCAAAAGAACACCAGTCTCTCTCCTCTCCCAGCAGGTAATATCCAATTTAACATCCATTAAATTGACATTCAAACTCATTTCTGCTTCCATCCACTCTTCTTTCTTTCGATCTGTTATTTACTTAAGACACTTAGGCTGCAGCATTTAGTCACCAGACAGCCTAGAATAAATATTTTAATTACAGTCCTTCCAGCAGAGTTCCATAGTCTTATATTTAATTATATTTCATTGTCTGCAAACATTATGATGCCAGGTTTTGTCTCTTTTGTGCATTTGTATTATTTTTTTCATAAATATTGACAACTGAGCTCGCAGTTAATTACTCCATTTTCTTGTTTTTCTCTTTCTGTTTTCTTTTATTACCTCTCTGCGGTACATAAAGCTAAACAGTTCTATAATTGTATGCAATGTATTAGTTCACGTGCTCCCTTCACTGTTACCTTTGTGTTTTCTTATATTTATTTCACTTTGATGGGCTTTTTTTCAAATCAATGTAATGAATTTACTGTAATCCAATATCCACCCACTTCATTTACTGAGTATCTAATCTATAAAGTTGTTATAGTGACGGACTGTGATACAGACAATACTTTACATTTATGCTGGATCTATAATTCCCCCTGGATACAATTTACATTTTTACCATTTTTTTTAACGTAATTTAAAATGTGTTTTTGCCAACATGATCTGAATTGCTTAGGAAAATAACACATGCAAATGGAAAATCTGTGCTCTTGTATTGCATATTATTCTAGATCTGTGGTTCATCCATTTTTCTGGTGCTCTGCAGATATTTTATTGACACTTTGATGATTTTTTTCCTTGACTTAGAAGCTGAGCGCATACGTCAGAGTATTGTCGGGTGCGCAGTCATGGCCCGATCATCTGAAGATGTCTTTTGGTCTAGCTTCAGGCATAAACATGAACTTTCGGGTTATGATTCAAGCACGCATTGCAAACATTTTCTCTCCTGTCCACTTGCTGTTTCCCTTGAAATGTGTCTGCAGGTAGCCTTTGACATGTGATGGTCACCTGATGTCATTTCTGCAGCCAAAGTCATGTAAGCAAATTCCTGATTGGCTGCTAGAAATTACAAACCTTTTTTTTCCCTTTAGTTTTTCCTTAGTTTTGTTTCTACAACACTCAAACAAATGTGCCTTACAGAAAATTGAATGTATATGAGGGGAGGGGAAGCATTAATACCTTTTTTTATTAGGTGAAAATCCTACATTTTTGTTAGGTATGATCCGTGTGTTGACTTTCCCATGGTGTCCCTGGAGAATATAATCCCTCTGTAATGTTGTTTACGCTGGGTTATCTGGCAAAGTCTCCCCATAATTGATTCCATACTTTGAGATGTGTGTTAAAAATTCTGTAGAGAGTATCTGACTAACAAGTCTAAAACTTCTCCATTCGCAGCCATCAAGCGCTCTAAATCGAGCTTTGATTGAGTAAATACCTCACTTAACAACCAACCTCCGCTACGTTTTAAAGTCATTTTTACAAACTGGGATATGCAAAACCGCAAAAAGAACAGATTGATGTTTCATTGTGTGCTAGCTGAATTCTTTAAAAATTGGGAAATTTTCATAGGTCGTGTCCTATTCCCTGGGATTGTTCTACCTACAGATAAAAAAAACAAAAAGTGTTGACAGATTTAAAAAAAATATATGTGTATATCCCCTCCCTCCAGCTCGTGAGCTCTCACCGGCGAGTTAGTCGAGGACAGTAGAAAGCTTTGGCGCTGCCAAGACTTGACCATGGGAAAGAACTGTTGAGGCTTACTCATCGGGAATATAGTAAACTTTTAAATCAATGGAATTACAAACACGCTGAGCTATTAGACTCTCCAATGCACGTACATGTTCCACTTTCCACACCCATTCTAAAGACACTGTAGGGTCAACTTTATTTTACCTTTAATGTTTTTTCCCCCATTAAACTGTGTATAGTTTTATATAGTCCAGAAAAAGTTTATCAAAAATCGGTTCATGTCAAAGGCGACATCTCTTCCATTTGTCTGTATGATGTGTTTATATGTTGGCAAGGTTTATAAAGAAATCATATTTTTACCTCCAACTTTCTGGAACTCTCTCTGTTCCGTGTAACTGAATGTGATTCTAAAAATACCCAATTTACTAGAAGAATATATTTCACACAAAAGTTTGGCTATTCACATGGTAATTTTTTTTTTCCTTTTTCCATACAGTGACATGAGAAGCGCCGGGGCTGGCGGGATGCCGGGAAAGTTGGTGGGAAAATAAAAGGTGAGCATTACTTTGAGAATTGAACTGTGATTGTGTTGGATATGAGATGACATAATGTCATGTTCTTATTATGAAGGGTTTATATTGTAAACTGTATATGGTAATGTCATATAAAATGCTAATGTAAAGACAATCATATTAAAATACCCATGTAATTCGAATAATTTATGTATCTGAATGTATTGCAGCCAGACTCAACATTATATTCCCAGTCCAGCTTCTTCTTACATAACCCTGCTCTGTCCAGGTTACCTAAAACTCCTAGTCTAAAGCAGGGGTGGGCAAGCTCAGCACTCCGGCTGCGGTGAAATTACAAATCCCATCCATGCCACATGCCCATGCCACTGAGACTCATGTCTGTGGCTGTCTTACAATGCCTAGTGGGACTTGTAGTTCCACAGCAGCTGGAACACTGAGGTTGCCTATCCCTAGTTTAAAGGAAAGCTTTAAAAAAGTGAGTATCTTGGAGTTCCTATGTACTAGCCAGAAAATCAGTCTATAGAGACACCTGAATTGTACTGCTGCACGTGGCAGGGGTAGAGTTACAGCAGCTGTTGAGACCTCTGCATAGATGGTGTCTGGTGTTGTGGGCTCCCTGGACGCGCAGACGATGTGCAACGATTTGCATAGTATTACAGATACCTGCAGAAACCACAAGGAGGCCTTAGAAAACAAAGCTACTTGAAATGATTAAACCTGACAGGTTTGCTTTAAGATGGGAGTTGGATATTTTAAGTATGTTTCCCTGCACCCCTTTATCTTATTATTTTCAGGTCGCAATAATCTAACCAAGCACTAAATTAACGACTAAATAGGTATTTGATTACTTTTGTGATATTCCACATAACGTTAATGTCGCCAGTTCCAGATTAATCCAGTACAGTCTGTAGTTTGTGTGCCCAGAGTAAGATATGCTTTAGAACTAGAGTCAGAGAACACCCAGATTCAGTACAATTCAGACAATAAGGCTACCGGCAACCACAGGTATTTATCTAGGAGACTAGCCTGCTACAGAAGATGAATGCCAGAGTGAGTTGAGTAGTCACATTCAATCATAACACAAGCTATGTACCTGCAGATGGTATTGCATTATTGCAAGATGTTGAGCACCTAAAACATCTATTATGAATATATATATATA